GCAGAATTATACCAAAAGTAGGAGGAACGTTGTGAAATATAAGAAAAAGAAGATTCAACTTGTCTCGAGTTTTATATTTTCAATAATGCTGACATTGAACATCTCGACTAGACTGTTCATTTTCATTTATCTCAAACTATAGAGATCGCCTCTTCGTGAAGTCCTTCAATAAATGTATACAATGCAAGATTTTTTTTTTTTGTGCATAAGATTTTATCATTTGACCTAGATGAAGAATTTAATATATTATAAAGCGATCCTTAAAACGTTCTTTCGTCGAAAGATGAAAAGATGGAAGTATTATTGACATCGAGTAATTATATATCAAAATTTATTGTCATCCATGTTATATCATTGACATACCATATCATTTTATACGTATATCGAATCGTATTACGAATCGCTTGTATAAGTGAAAAATAATATCTTATTATTATTCGAGGATTGAAACGAAAAGAAAAGAAAAGCAAATCCTCGAACAAAAAGTGAAATTTAAATAATGAAATAAAATTGCGACATGTTAGGAATTTCCAATCTGCGTCAAGAAAAATTTGAATTCTTTCGCGGTGAATTACCTTTGCCTCGTGCATTCTTGCTTTCGAGAGTACGATATACTATACGATTATACTGTATAACTTGTGCAAATATTTTTTTTTTTTGTTTCATCAAAGATCATCCTCATCTGTCACGTGACTTAAAAAAGAAAAGGAGGAACAACGTCCTCGTTTTTATAAATATCCAAGTTTCGATAGGATACGCGATCGATGATCACACCTACGTGTTTAAAACGACAGATTGTGTAAATACTACAGAACTGGCAACGATAATTGGCATGCTCCAAACCTGGTGAAATTTTACTAATCCTCTGCAACAGATTTGTAATCGCGATTAAATAAACGTAAAAGTGAAAAAGAATAAGTATTATTTAAAAAAAAAACAGAGAGAAATCACGAGGGAAAAAAATTCGTAAAAGTACGTTTCAAATTTTTTGAAATCTCGAAACCTAAAGGAAATTTTGAAAGAGATCAACGCTACTTTGCATTAAGTGCATTTATGTTACTTAAGCGACTCAGCACTGCTGAGAAGCTGCATTTTAATCAACTTAAAATGAACGTCTTATTCATACTCTAAACCGGTTTGAGAAACATTACGCGAATTAAATTACAGCTGCACTTGCGGATTACTTTCATTTCGTCAATTTGGTCAATGTACTCGTATTATAATATATATATATATATATACAAGAAAGAAAGAAGTGTATTTTGCGCTAATATTAATCAAACATTCGATCGAAGATGCGTTTCATATTTTCATCGCTTTCACTATTTTTATAAAGAATATCTATTACTTCGATCACGTTTTATCTTTTATTGATTTCCATTGAGCAAACAGATAACGCGGTTCGTGATTCAACGCGGTTCGTGATTGAATATGATATGATTTACTTTATTTAAACTCCGGTGAAAAGAATATTTTTATAATTTTAATCTTAGACTTAAACGAAATTGTATATACATATACGACAAATTCGTAAAATTAATATCGTTCGATTAATACTCGCCAGTTGTCCATGGAATCAATGTCGATGACGAAGGTATTGCAGAATCCCGAGCTTAATTTTAGCCTGAAAAGTTCAAGAGAATGAGAAACTAACTCAGCTTCCATAGAAAACGTCCAACATGTTTTGTTATACAGAATAGGCTGGCTCGTTCCTCAATGAAAACACGTGACAGTTATCGTCTTTCTTTTATGAAGACATTCATTAACTTTTCAAATGTGTGATAAAGAGACAAAGACGAGAAAACTATTCTTACTTTCTCATTCTCGTTTCTATTTAATTAATGGAAAACACGTATTAACGATCGTTAAATTTCTACTCGGAGAATACAAAAAAAAAAAAGAAAGAAGAAGAAAAAAAGGAAAATGTAATCATGAAACACGAGGTATAGGAGGTCTTTTAGAAATAATTACCTTTGAAAAAGCTCACGCTTTGATTCCCGCTGTTATATTCCATTAAATTTCTCGGATACATATACCAATTTTAAGAAGAAACGTGCGCATTGCGTGCCCATCTTGCGTACGTGCGTGCTGCACGCAATAAGGAATTGATTAAGGGAGTGTGCACATCCCTCGTTACGCTTTCAGGATGAGTATAATTCGTGTTGAGTTTCCTGATGTTTCGATAAGCAACCATGCTTTTTCATTCTTCTTCTATTTAAACGTTTTATCTAAATCCGTGTTATTGCAATTAATCCTATTCCGTTTTTCATTTATATAGAAATTTATATTCCTATCTTGTTGTTCTTTTCCTATCTTCCTACGAACAATTATTAACAATTATTAATTATTATATACGAATATTAAAATTTTCTTAATAACGATAATCTAAACTTTTGTTTCAATATATTTTATTGGGAATGAGATATAATATAATTGTAACACAAAAATTTGAATAATGTAAGAAACTATATCGCGTTATTTAAATATCGATTATATTTTCTAATATTTTAAATACTTTTCTAATATTAATTTAAAACAGGTCAATTATCTACGGCGAAATACGCGTTGTAAACACCTTCATGCGGCGAGACGATAATGTATTGTATTATCGTTGCTTCGTCGACATATATACACGAAGGAAGACACGACATAACGAATATGATTCATTCTTATCGCATATACAAGAGACGGCCCCTAAATTTCGAGAATCCACATATTTGTTTTTGTACCGGCGATCTTCCAATCGTGAGTCGCAATAAACAACGTTACGGTCGAATTTCGTTTCGAAAATTTGCTTCGATTTACGACGTTTCTTTACCTTTGCCAAATCGTAAATGAACAAAATGTCAACCGTTTTACGAGCGACTTGCGTTTCCTGCGAACGAGCCAAGTTCCGCATTGTAAAAATTACGCGAATAAATCAACGGCATTCGATCATCGATTCTATTTTCGAAGATTATTATTAAATTATTAATAAATGATAAACAACGACTGAGTCATCACACGTGTGTCGACCAATTCTTTCACAGTTCACCTCTACTTTTTCGTACTTCTATTCTTTATCTTTTTATATAAATAATCGCTAGTAACAAGTTCCATCTGTCCTCCATTCTTCCATCTAGAATAAAAATTTCTTATTGTATTATACTCCAAACCTATTGTCTATGCCAACGATATGCTATATACCATGCATCATACATGAAAAATTCACTCCAATTCATTCTATCAATCACACGCCCACACATCCATGTATTTTTTTCCCTTAACCAACCATCCAACTTGGGTTGAACGTACCATCATCGCTTATTCCCAGAATAACGTATACGTATATACGAATCCACACACGCGTATAATTCAACTACCAACCACATCGAAGCATAATCAGCTGACTGGAATCGGCGCACAAAAGGGTCGAAAGAGAGAGAGACAGATGGAAGAAGAACACGCTCACCTTGAATGAAACCACTCCACCGGTGTCTCAAAGCATCCCTCACGACAATTCTTCTCCCAATTGTGTTCACGTCGATCGAACTTCCAGGAGAGCAACATACGCCTCCCGGCTCCAACACGCGTCAAATCTCACGCTGTCACACACTCACTCGATCTCCCCCTCGCTTAATGTTATATTTAACGTTCGATTTAAATACACTCCACGATACGTGATCCTCGAGTGGAACGATTCGCGAACGCCCACGAGGCACGTTTTCCTTTTTTTCCTTTTTTTTTTCTTTGACGAGGAATCGTGACTCATCCGCACGTATCACATTGATACGCCTCGAACGACGAACGACGATCAACGCCGGCTCAACACACACTGAACCGTTCTACGCCCGTTCTCTGGCGTAGAATGTCCGCGCCTGCGTACATCTTTTGCGTCATTTCCTGTATACAGTAGCGGACTATTCGGAGAGTCGTTACGTGAGGGAAGAATTATCTTTTCATCGATATTTGGGGATTGTTTTCTTCTTTTTTTTTTTTTCTTTAATAAAATGATATATTTTTTTTAATTATTTAATTACGATTTATTTGTTGTATGAAGATGACTGTTGTTTTGTGTGATGTTAATTAAATCGAATGATAATTAGATCGATATAAGTATTAATTTTTAGTTTTTAGTTTTATCTTATCGTTGAGGCTTGGTTTTGGATTAATTTATTTTTTGGATCAGGCTCAAAGATTTTTGATTTTTGTACTCCTCGATTCAGAATTTGATCGTCGTTGTGAATATCAAATTTGAATTTTTGATTGGATGAAATAAAAATATAAATTTAAAAAAGATAAATAATGTAAGATGTAAATCTTGTTTCCCAATTCCTTGTTTCATTTTATCCTCTCCATATCATCCATTCACAAGCCAGGCAAGAGAAGTAACAATAAAGTATAAAACACGCTTATTATCTTCTCTAAATATGGAATTCAACTAAAAATCGTATGAATTATTGGGAATGTAGAACCGTAATGAAGGTTTTAGACGAGGAAGATAAATTCTGTTCTGAACACCAATTCGATTTATCCAGTTACTGTCATTTTCATCTGATATTAACAGAAATGCAGAACAATGGTAGAGGTATTATATACGACAAAAAAGATACTCCAGTCAGAATACCAATTTTAATTTATAACTTACCTTTGCTCCTGTTATTTGCTCGCAAGTTAACAGGATGTTAGAACTGTGGAGGAGGTTTCAAATAAGGATGGAAAATTATGAAAAAAAGAATGGAGGTGAGTTTAGATCGTAGCATAGTTGTGCTCCTGTTATTTTTTAAACTTCTACGTTAACAGGATTCAATAATGATGGTGGAGATGTTAAATAACGAGTGTTAAATTATGGGAGTAGGTATTTGAAAGTTCCTTGCAAATTCAATGGATTAGTACAATCGATTCCTTACCAGATGGCGACTGCGTCTTGATACATATGAATGGACGAAATATTATAAAAAGAAGGGAAATGCATTTTCCTAGAATTAATTTACGATTCTTGTTGCTCGTGTCTTAAATTATGATTTAGTTTTAGAAAGTTTTATTTCGAGATAATAATTCGTTCTTGTGATTTTTTTTTCTTTCCCTTTCAGTAACTATAAAATTACGAAATACAGTTTTTCTCATTACTTCTCGTATCCATTATAAGTATAATTTTTTGAATCCTTCCTTTTTGTTTTTGAAATAAATTTATATATATTATAATTACACATCTAGTTTCTTCATCATATAATGGAACACAGCCAGGACCGAGAAACTGAAACCTAATGGTATAGATGTTGCTTTTATCCATGCCCAGATACTGAAAATTAAGAGATAAATATTTATTATAATTCATCAATCGATTAAAAGTCGTACTTATTCGAAATTACATTTAATTTTAATACATTTTAAATTTATATTTTTTTATAGATCAATTACATACCTTCTACTTCTTATACTATATCCTTTTCTACTGCATTTTTTTCTCTACAAGATATAATTCAACACTACGATTTACAGTGAAGCTCATATATATACTTTAAATTTATACATTTCTAAAAGAAAATTAAAAAATTATAACTAATAAAGACTAATAAATACTTAAAAGACTACGATTCTTCTACTGCGATACTTTATAAAAAAAATTAATCGATTTACTTGTAAATATTGTCATCCACTTTAAACGGAGACGGGGTAGGTATGGAACCACATTCGAAGATAATCACGGGTTTAATCGGCACGTCATCAGCATCCGTTTTCGTCTGCTCGATCTTAAAAACTACATCTTGGCCTTCGATCACCTACAAGAAAATAAAAATAAAAATAAAAATTTCTGCATCCTCGACATATTTTCTCGTTACCTTTCCAAACACAGTATGCTTCCCATCTAACCAGGGTGTAGGAATAGTCGTAATAAAGAATTGACATCCATTCGTATTCTTTCCGGCATTCGCCATGCTCACGTACATGGGTGCATTGTGACCAATCTCAAAATTCTCGTCGTCAAACGTTTTTCCATAGATACTAATCGATCCGGTACCGTCTCCATTCTCTATATCTCCACCTGAAAAGACACGAAAATTAACCAATGCTTCTATCTTTGTTAAATAATTCCAATTATTTAATTACCCTGTATCATAAATTTCTTAATCACTCGATGAAACGTGCTATGCTTATAAGTTTTTCCTCCAATCCCTGTAGTGGCCAAAGTGAGAAAGTTTTTCGTAGTTTTAGGCACGATATCGCTGAATAATCCTATGACGATTCTTCCCACTGGATGATCGTCTATCATAATGTCCAGATACACCTGATCGACTACAGTGAGATTGTTTTTCTGGAATAAAATTTGACAAGTCAGTAAGAGAGAATAAAAAAATTAATCGTTAAGTATTGTTTGCTTAATCGTCAATCGATGAATCACAAATAATTCACAAATAAAAATTGTGAATGGTGGTTCAATCGTGAATCGAAAAAACGAGATGACGGAATAATTTCGACGATGTGTCGTGAATAATTCTCATCGACTAAATTTCCACGACTTTCACGCACGTCAAGTTTCACGCTATTCTAACGTCCTCGCCAAGAATTGTCGAGAATCGAACGTGTATAAGTATTAAGCAGATGAAGGAAACCTTATGTAGTCCACAAAAGCACGAAACGACGTACTTCGATCCTCTTTCATTTCTTTCGTAATTGATGGAAATTCATTCCTCAGAATTTCATCAGAAAATCACCATTTAATATTTTTAACGATTTTTTAATCACTTTATCGTATCATATCACTTTTCCATCTTTTTCCAATTCTTCTGGTATCTCAAAAATGAAATTTCTTCAACCTCATTACAGAAATTATATTTTCAAATTCCAACCTTCGTCCTTCCTATTTTCTCTTATTCATTCTTTATCACCAAACGATACATACAGAAATCTTGCGACGATTTTCTTTCAGATAACGGTACGAAATTGAGACGCAATTGTATCAATGATATTTCATTCAATGTTAAATTCGAAACGATACCTCGAAAGTTGCGACCAATCCGACCAGGCAGGCTATCGCCAACAGAATCTTCATGATTTTACGATTGCGTTTAGAATGAGCCGTGTCCCCTGATAGTTGCAGCTTCATAATTCAACCCGCACTTAAATGCGATCAGAAGCACCACGCGATGACCGAGCACGAGGACGCTTGCGCGGAATATATTCCTTGATTGAAACCACGTTGATACTGTTTCAAATTCGTGTGACGAAATAACTACGTATCGTTAACATTAGTTACAATAAAAATTGTAACAATAAGTGTCATTAAATATTGATAAAATCCTGGTAAAATTAATTATCTATGTTATCGTGTTATCGTATTACGTAACCGTTAAAGTTGATTTTATACGTTTCGTTATTTTTAATTTTTTAATCTTTAAAACTCTCGATCTCAATTCGCGATTTCGAAAATCTCGGATCGAGAAATCTCATCGAATGATATATCTAAAAATTTTGGATGACACGGTGATGGATAAAAATTCATCGATTGATGAATTTCACGGAAATATATTTCAATTTTTTCAAAGATGGGGTCAAAGATCCTCGAAACGACCCACGATCGAGAAGGATCGAGGCGAGCTCGTTAAGTCCCGTTACTCCCGATCGTCGACCGGCTCGAATATTATAAAAGCAGGGACTATTGTCGATCCAAGGACAGTTGTTCGCGATGGAGAGGACCGGTCGATCACATAATGCACGCTTCATCGCGTTTTCCTTTCTTTTTGTCGTTGCCCTGGTTGCCGAGGCGGCGGCGGTGGTCGATCGTCAGAAACGAGAATTCGTGATCCCCGACTGGATCGAGATCGTGGACGAGCCTGCCCCGGAAAACTCGAAGACGATTCAAAGAGCGGTCAGAGTGAGGGATGCCAAAGTAACTTACGATGGTGCTCAAGTTTGGAGGGTGGAAGGGCACAAGGACATAGTGTCGAACGTCACCATGGACTTCCAGGAAGCTGGATGTTCGTAAATTTTTCGTCCATTCAGAGAGAATTTTTAAATCGAGAGTTTAGTTTTTCGTAATTTCGTAAGAGAAAAGTTTAAAAGTGAATGGAACTTTTCCAAAAAAAAAAAAGAAAAAAAAATCGTATCCAGTTTTAATTTAAAAATTGAACTTGAATATCCATCGATGGGTGTTTCTAAAATTAATTTATACAAGATAAGTTGCGAGAGATCGAGGATAAAAATAATTCTCTTATTTTTATTTCTATTCTTTGTACAGTACTGTCATTATGGGCCGGCAACGACACAGCAGTAGACGTAATGATACGTTCAGAAGAAATTTCAAGAGTGTCTCGCTACTTGAAAGAAAAAGACTTGAACTATCGGATAGTGATCGAGGATTTGCAGAAAGCGATAGACGAGGAAAATCCATCGCTTTCCGAGCAAGAGATGGAGGAACTGCAAGGCCGTAAAGGTTTGCACCAACGATATTTCATTGATCATCGCAATTCCATCGCTTTCCTCCTGCTTGGTATTTCTTCTTTCTCTTTTATTTCACCCAAAAATCATCGCCATCATACCAGCAACCGGGACGCTTTTACGATCGATTTCGCTCATCAGGATTACGATTCAACAGTGAAACGACGTTTCGCTTGTTATTTTATTTGTTCCACTGACACGAATGATGACGTTTGACGACTCACTCACTTAAAGAGTTATCGCGTATTCGAGTCACGCGGCGAAGAAAGCCGAGAACGTCATTCATACACATCGGTATATTCGAAAGTGATTTCGATAAGCGTATTTTATCGTCGTTTTTGATTCGTTCAGGAATAATCGCGTGAAATCGTTATTTGATTAACGACATTTTAATACCTTCTATGCTTTCGACTCGAAACTCCAAACGTTCGCTTCTTGGCTACGCTTACTTTTGGATTTGGTAAAGAGATTTTTTTCAGCGTCATCAAAAAAAAAAAAAAAACACTTGCTGTTTTCGACGGAAAGTTTACCAGGTTATTGCCCTCGTCGCGATTTAACCCGTTAACCTAGTTTCGATAGGTCGACAATGTTGATTAACATTAACAGTTATGCACGTTTAGCGTGTGCCCGCGCATCTCCAATTCGACCAAAGACGTTTTCGATTTTGTTGTTTCGATCGTGGTACCGTTATTTGCTCCCAGACAGTCGTCGAGATGCGCGTTGGCAATTGGCCCGGTTCGAAAGTTAGCGAAAACGAGAACTCTTGGTCAGTGAATCTTATTACAGTCTTAAAACATTCGCGATCGATAAATCATTTGAAAATCTCGACAGATTTTCTTCCAACGATATTTCTTGATACAATTACCTTCCGATTATACAACTGCTTCCGAATCGAAAAATTCATTTTCATTATTACATTTCATTAATTAGCAAAATATCGTACGATCTTTCACGATAAGCTTGAACGACTAACCATAAATATACCACTGAATACTGAGCTTTTTTAGTAATTTTCTAGCTCGTTACGCTTGGTGGCAGAGAGTCGCGATCAGGCCAAGTAAATATTCACGTCCTCGTCCTCTTCGTTATCCTGTAACTAGCGTGCACGGTGTCGGTGGCTCTTGGCAATTTAGGGGTGAGGCTCTTGCGCGCATAACCCGCTTCGTCGATTCAGAATAATTCTGATCTTATTTCGAACATTGAATTTATTCATGTTGACCAAAAAAAAAAAAAATCAATCAATCGGACATCAATTAATCCGATCCGAATCCACGTCTCTGAATCGACGGAGCGGAATATTTTCACGTGTCGTCCAAGGACACCGAACGTGCAACCTCTGAATAATCTTGAAGGTATACCCGTCAGGTCATCGAATGGAATGGACCAGTTATCACCGACTCGAGGACATTCACGGATACCTCGATTACCTGGCTGATACTTTCCCCGACGTTTGCTCTGTCGTCACCATCGGTCATTCCGTCGAAGGAAGACCTCTCAAGGTACGATACGTACGATAAAAAAAGGAATGTATTTTTACGAATGATTTAAAAAAAAAATATATCAGCAATGCGATAAAAAAAAAATAATAGGTTATAAGAATAAGCAACGGAAAATCAAATTCCCCGGCATTGTGGATCGACGGAGGTATTCACGCTCGAGAATGGATTTCCCCAGCCTCGGTCACTTACATTATCAATCACTTGGTTGAAAATAGCGAGACGCTCGAGGCCGATTATTATATTCTCCCCGTTGTGAATCCTGATGGGTAAATTGAAATATATCGCACAACGTATCTGTACGTGCGTCGTGCAAAAAGCCACGGTTAATCGACTCTCGTTTCTTGCTTCCATCGGCAGGTACGAGTACACGTTTACGAAAGACCGTTTATGGAGAAAGAACAGGAAACGTTCGGTGGGCAGTCTGTGCACCGGTGTCGATCTTAACCGGAACTTCGGCTATCGATGGGGTGGCCTGGGAACAAGCAAAGATCCTTGTCGGGAAATTTACGCGGGGTCAGGCCCGTTCTCCGAACCGGAAACCAACGCCATTCGATATTTCTTCGAAGCCAGTTCCGCCAATTTTAAAGTGAGAATTTAAACCATTGATTCATCATTTAACCGGTATTCGTTTCAAATTGTTTCGATTCTGATAATTGATTACTTACTCGTTATCGCGTATCCAGGCATATCTGACGTTCCATAGTTACGGCCAATACGTCTTGTACCCTTGGGGCTACGACAAACGGGTGCCGCCTGATTACGCGGATCTCGACAGCGTTGGCAAGCAAGTGTCTACGGCGATGAGGAAGGCGGACGAGGCGAGAAGCGCTTACACGGTTGGAAACAGCGCCACGACGCTGTACGCGGCTTCCGGTGGCTCCGACGACTGGGCGAAGGCCATCCTGAAGATGAAATATACGTACACGATCGAATTAAGGGATACCGGAAAGTACGGTTTCGTTCTACCATCTCGTTACATTATCCCAACGGCTAAGGAAGCGTTGGCCGCGGTTATGGTCGTCACGGAAGCTTGCAAGTCTTTGTAATTCGTTGAATCGTAGAGCAAGTTGTATAAATAACAATAGTTATACATATGTTACACACGATACGTATATGTACATTGTAATTATTATATTTTATAATATAATTGTATATGTAGGAAATAAGATGAGCGAAAACGGAAATTATTTATTGAATAAAAAAACAGACAAGCGTTGACAATGATTCTTGAGGTAATTCTTATCCTTATTCGTAATCGATTTTTTACGAATAATTTAACATGATTATGGCGATCCACGTGATGAAGGCGGAAACTCTCGTGTAGACGGAGGGTGCGTTCTTCCTTCCGCAAGGGAACAAACCCCACGAAACTATTCCCACCACCTCCGCTTCACCGAAACCATTCTTCGTGACTAAAGGACCCCCCGAGTCACCCTGAAAATTTTATATTTTCGAATTAGAAAAAAGATGAGGGGATCGATCGAATTTTTTCCTTTTCCTTTTTTTTTTTTTTTTTTTTTTATCATTATTATACTTTGCAAGCTGCCAAACTGCCGTCCAAAGGGCCAGTGCAGACATTCGTCGGATGAAGAGGATTCTTTTCTTTCGGTTTTAAACTTTTCGTAATTATCTTGTTGCACAATTGGTAATTAATTATCGGGAGTATGGCTGCTTGAAGATTCTCCGGCGATTCGTGAGCCTGGCTCCTTCCAATACTACCCCATCCAGTCAGCATAGCGTCTCCAACGGGAATCGTATCGGGATACGGCAAAGAAACGGTGGAAACGAAAAGATTCAACTCGAATGGTCGTTCCACTTTCATCAACGCAATATCGTACGGCCCTACGCGCCTGAATTACCAGAATTCGATGTTTTTCATAAATCGTAATTACACGTGGATAACAAAAAAAAAGAAATCTCACCCTTTGTATCGTGGATGAACGAACACCCTGTTCACCAATCTCTCCTGTTCGGTCTCCTCGATCGTTTTCAATTTGTACTTGCCGGCGAGTATTCGAAATTCTCCCATAGGTGGTGACAGAGTTTTGCAATGGCCAGCTGTCAATATCCATCCCGCTGTTATTAAACTACCTCCGCAAATGTGTTTCGTTGGAATTTTTCTCGCTGGATCGCCCCACTGCACCGACACCTGCCAAGGGTGCAACCCTTTCTGCGCGTCCTTCCCTCCGACGATCCTCGTTGGTCTTTGCGCCAACATCGCTATGCTCGAGATCATCTCTGACGAGCGAGAATAATTGAGTTCAGATAGGATTAATCCAAACCGGTTCTATCGTCTTTTTAGATAGAAATATTGAATAGGATACGATAAAATTGAATGAAATTTTTTTTTTTTTTTTTTTTCCTCTCACCGTCAACTTGTCCACACCACGCCAGACTCATTACGCGAAGAATTAATAACAATTTACCGTGAACGCGATTAATCGTCATTTCGTGGAACTGTTTCATCACCGAGGAATCGAGATCGAATGACGAGTCTTCTAGAAGGCGAAAGCAATCGCGGAAGAGCATATCGAAGAGGAACTGGAACTCATTTCTTCCTTCCTACCACAACTTAGAATAACTAGAATTTAAACTAGTTTTGTCGTACCTCGACGACAAACTTTTTTTCTTTTTTTTTCCCCCTCTTCTTTATCCATTAATGGCGTTGAATGTAATGTAGTGTCGAAGAATTTTTTATTTCTCGTATCAAGAATAGATATAATTTCTTTATAATTCGTAATATACTCACAACACGTGCATTTTATATTTTTATATCGTATACGTCAAAACACTTTAATTAATAAAGATTATTAAGAATTAAATTATTTAATTCCTCGCCATGATGTTTCCAATCCAGGTGACGAAGGAGGAAATGTTGGTGTATACAGACGGTGCACCGACGGTTCCACATGGGAAGATTCCCCAAGAAACGATTCCAATGAGTTCGGCTCTTCCAGTCGCGTTAAGAGCCAGTGGGCCGCCAGAATCGCCCTTTGATCGCGATTGAAATTAATTTATAATTAAGTTCAAGTCCATAAATATAGCGAAGGGCAAGTGATACTTACGTTACACGCGGAGAAACCACCGGTGAGCGGTCCAGTGCAAATGTTAGTCTCGTGCAATGGTGATGGACCAGTAAGTTCTTCTATGGCTTGTTTGCAAGTATTCAGATTGATTAACGGCAAATCGACGGTTTGAAGTTTGCTGGGCATTAACGGGGTATTGGTCCTCGATATCGATCCCCAACCAGTCAAAGTCGCGTTTCCGGTTGTGTTCGATGGCATACTTGGAAGATTAATCGCTTGAACAGCACCACCCAATTTCAAAGGTTTCTTCAGTTTCAGTAGCGCAATATCGTAGGGAGCCACGTTTCTGAAATTAATAAGAATAATATTGATAAGATAAGGATTATATTAATATTAAAAGGAGGATAGATAGATTTGGAAAAGTAGTCGATGAACAAATTAATAATATGATTTCTACTCTGTTAAATGAAATTATTTTATAGATGAAAATCTCGATTATATATTTCTTAAATTTAAATAAGATTTCAATTACCCTGTGTATTTATTGTGCACGAATATACTCTTAACCGCGATACTTTGCTCGGTGCTTTCTACTACTTTCAAGTCGTGCTTTCCGGCTTTGACTATGAAATCACCGTAGCTCGGAATAGCCCGGGCACAGTGTCCAGCCGTGATTATCCATCGGTCGGATAAAATGGAACCACCGCAGAAGTGAGAGGTAGCGGACAACCATCCCCATTGCAAAGAAACTTGCCATGGGTATTGTCCTTGTCTAGCCTCGTTTCCTCCGACTATGCGAGTCTCCAATAACGGTATTCTGAAGCCACGATAGGGCTTTGCTGTAAACGAGCAACGAATAATTTAGATCGAATAAAATGCGATCGATGAAAAGTATCGACGAAAAATTTTATATTTGATTTTTTACGACCATCTGTATTAAAATTTCACTTACCAGAGGCGATCGCCACGAGAAAGGTAATATAAATAATCAGTTTGAGTGACATTTTGATAATTTAAGATGTTGCATTCTGGGCACAGCAGTTTATATAGATCGTGCGTTATCGATATCAGGGAATCGAAAAAATTATGGTTTAATTCATGGAAGAGTTATTGATAAGTATAAGATTACAAAGTTTCCACAGTCATCTATTTATTAGATTGGATTGATGGTGCGCTTGTTTTATCAGTTTCGTACATAATAGAATGTTTTTTCTTAGAATTGTGCAACAAGAGAATTTTAAAATATCTTGAATCGTTCTATTTTTTTCATATCGGACATGATAATGATAATAATAAATAAAGTAATATTAATATATATATATATTATTATTTTTAAATATTTTTAAATATTATTTCTTCCTTTCGTAAATATTTTATATTATATTTAAAAAGATTTTCTATCACAAGATATAAACATTTTTATGAATCATTGTATTTTAATAAAAAATAGGAAATGAAATTTTTAAAAAAAGAAATTTATCTCATTTATCTCTGTTTCTTTCTCTTTAATCAATCTTTCCGATTTATCTATATCGATTAATTTTTAATCTTTTGAATTGTAATTTATCGATTACTTTTATCGAAAAATAAAATACAAACAAAGGTAAAGTGAATGAAAACGTCGAAATCGTTTTTTATTATTTTATTCGAAAAATTCTAATTATAAAATTTTATTTTAGAGACTTTTTTTCTTTTTTTAAATATCGTTTCAATTTTTTTCCTTTATTATTATTCCTTTTTTCCTTTTTATTATATTTTTATTATATATATTCCTTTTTATTATATATTTTTTTCCTTTATTATTAAAAAAAATTTTATAAACAAACTTTGTCAAATCAGTCACAATCGAAACGAGCTTAAGACATATTTTCATGGATCCAGTCTACGTAGGAGGCCACACGAGTATATACAGAGGGCATGTGGGATGATCCACAGGGCATCATACCCCATGAAACGATACCAACTTGTACAGATTTTTGGCCCACCTTTTGGGCGAGTGGGCCGCCAGAGTCACCCTGGAAACAAAATGCAAAAGATTTCTTATTCTAATAAATCTTTCAACTTTCATTTTCAATCTTTTTAAATCTACTTTCGTCTCGATGTATAATTTAATGGTCTCAGAAAAAAATAAAGTTTTAATAAAAAACATTAGTGATTCAAAATAAATTAATATACTTACGGAACAGGCAGACACCTCTTTACCAGCGATACCACTGCAGACTTGAGTGTCGAACAATTCAGGTTGGTTTCCAACAACGGGTTGGGAAGTGAGTTCTTTCAAGCATTCAGCGTTGTCCAGGATAGGTACATTAGCCTTTTGAAGGATGTTTGGTAAAGTTGGTTTTACTGTTTTAGAGGTTGATCCCCATCCAGAGAGAACAGCTTGTCCAGTTTGTTTCTCTCCTTGTTTGGGCAGGGTAATGGGTTGTACCAAGTTGTTGAATTTCAAGGGGGAGCTCAGGACGAGAAGAGCGATGTCGTGTTGCGCAACGCCACTAAAGTAAAATAAAATTATATTAGTGGAGCACGAGTGATATCGATTTTATTCTAAGTCAACAATTGAAAGATCGCCATTCGTCTCCTCTTATCTCGTCTCATTTATTTCGAGAATGGGAAATGTCGAGACAAGATTACGTATCGTCTTTCTTGATCAATGAAAAGAAAAACGACGAAGAGGAACGTCTGATATACCATTTTAATAATATTTTGATCCCAATATGATTTCTATTTTATTTCTTTAAAGTTCATCAAGATTCCATTTTTCTTTATTTTTTTCTTTCTTTCTTTTTTTCTTTTTTTTTTTTTTTTTTATTTCAACAATTCTTGCAAGATCGAATAAATTTTGCTCACCCTTTGTACCCTTTGTGAACGATGCTCTTCTGCACGTCAACGACTTGTTGAGAAGATTCAGCTTTGTTCAGCTCGTATTTGCCGGCAATGACTCTAGACTTTCCAACTTTCATAACACAGTGTCCAGCGGTCAGAACGTATCTTTCGTTCAGGATGGATCCACCACACGAGTGGCTGTATTGAGTTAAAGGTGGGATTCCCCATTGGACAGAAACTTGGTATGGGAATTCACCACGAGCGGCGGGGACGCCATCCGTGATACGGGGTTCCAAGGGGTTGGCCAAACAGGCTGTAAGATTAATAATAAGAACGTTCATTAAAATTTTTTAAAATATTTTTAATACTCGTAATATCGAATCTCACTGAGATTTATTAAAAATATAAAAATATTTAATAGGTTTAAAATAAGTAAAATAACGTGAAATTATTAAGATTATTCTCTTACCCTTGATTACGAGAATAGTAGCCAATAGACACTTGATGAGCATTATTGTACGATTATCTGTATACAATTTGAAAAATCTAGTGGAAATTACGATTTATATAGGATGTTGAAACTCGATATCTGATGATAATTCAAAATTATAATTGATAAGGGATCCACTCGATACTATTTTTGCGTCAGATATTTACATTAAAATAAAATGTTCACCTTTAAAGAACGATATTGATTATCGACCAATAAGATTTCAAGATTTTTCAAGATTTCCATCGCATCAAATTTTTTTCTCCAATTAATAATTCTCAACTATTATTGCTTTAATTAAGACTTCAATGATTAAATTCGAGTGTTTCAATTTCGAACTGTTTAATTAAATTATTAAAAAATAAAAATTATAAATTAAATTATTAAAACTCTTATAGATATAAAAAAATTAATAAAGTCATAATTATTTATAATAACATAAATCTTAATATATCGTGTGAGTAATGTTTTCAACTCGTTTTTATCTCATAATTATGAATCACAATTTTTAAAAATTCATTACATTTCTTTATACAACATTTATAAATCATTTTAAATTGATCAATCTTGATTAATTACATTTATTAGATTAGATTATCTCTATGAATAATTTTAATAATAATAAATAATAATAAATTTACAATATTTACAAGTCATCGTTTAAATCATACGCGATCGTATTTCTATTTAAAACGTATACAATAAATATAAAAATCCCGCTATTAATTTTATTATATTTTAATTCTCTCGAAAAAGAATTTCCCACATATTTGATAATTGCTGCTGAAAAAAAATTATCTTCGGTTTACATCAATGCTAAACATTAGCAGCAATGTCATCCCATCATACAGATTTTTCAGATATTTCGCTACTAAAAAACTTTCTAATCTTTGTAAACATGAAAAACGATGAAATATATCTCAGAAAATGAGAGATCAGTGCCATTCTCGGATCTCACGTTACTAAACGAGCGATCGTTCTTATCCCTGCCCAAATTTCACGAGCAGTTGGCACGATTTGCGATGCTGGAAGCAAGAATCCGTACGTTCCTCGATCTCGAAGTTCCAACGTGTAAGCGTATTTTATACCGGCTACACCCTTGGCCCAATCGTCAGAAGCACCTAAAATTTATCAAGTATTTTTCTATTCAATAAGAATTTTAACAAACAGCGAATCGATTTTCATTATCTTCGTTGCAAAAATTGCAAAATTTCGAATTATTATCATATTTTCATTGACTGTTCTTTTGAGTTATAAATTTGCATTTAAAAGAAAAGATATTTATGCAACGATATAATTAAATTTAAGTGTTTAATATTTTTGTACAAATTTGATGTAAAACATAAACGAAAATCCAAAAAAATTGCATTATTCTTGATTAATTGCTCGTACAAAAAGAAGAAAAGAAAACATTTCATATTATTATTATTGATACTTCTAAAAATATTTCTTTATTTTTTCATATATAATCCTATCTTGTCTTTTAGTCAAGTCTTATACTCAACAGTTCATTATCAGTTTAATTAGTTGTTACAAACAAACACATAAGAGAGAACACATAAATGAATGTGAGAGGATACTTTTTAATTTTTAATTATCGAAACAAGATTGATAAGAATCGTTTATTTTCTATCTCGTATCTGTGTAATTAATCGTACCTGAGGTTGGGTATAACAAATCGGCTGATGGGCCGAGTTGATAATCGGTCCCGTGTACCTTCGAGATCGCCCCTATTGCTTTTTTAGCTACGTTCATCAATTCCGTATAATCGGACGGTTTCGAATACGTGTATCCCCACGGTACGAGCCACATTTGCGAATAAGAGTGCAACGTCAGATAAATCCTTGAAAAATTTTATTTTATCCATCATATATTCCATTCCCGTTCCCAGAAATCAAATGCGAAATTTGAAATTTGAATCGATCCCCATATCCATTCGATGTGATACCTGATATCCTTTTTATTGGCCAAGATATAATCGGCCATCGCCTTGGTTTCCGGCTCAGAGAAGGCTCGTGGACCGGCGTAAGTTTCGTGGCAAGGGTCCAGGCTGGCCCCACCCTCCTTCACCTCGCCCCAATGGTATCCAAAATTCCTGTTCGGGTCGACGCCCTCGCACTTACCCCATAACCACTTCGTATAATGGTTCAATAGTTGAAGGAAGCTGTAATCGGTGTATCTATGCCGAGAAAACATTTATTATCCATTCATTCTTGCCAGCTGTTTACCGCTCGACGAAGCGTCATTATTTTTTAAAAAAAAAGAGTAACAAAGACGACACGAGGATACGAGATCGTACCGACTGTCGTCTTGATTCTCCTCGTGATTGCTCCTCGTCTTCCTCCACAATCTGTCACTCGTGTGACTGTACTCGTAGCCGTCCGGATTCGCGACAGGTAAGATCATCCAGTCTGAATTCTCCAGCAATTTAGCGTAGCTCGAGTTCTTCTCGACTAACTGGCTGATGATGTAGGTCGCCACAGCGGAACCGATCCATTCACGCGCGTGCATACCTACCGAATGTGAGGACAATTCGAGAAAAATACGGAGTAACGGGACAGGATCGCGTGGAACGCGTCGAGCATAAAAAAATTTTGCCTCCTCGAAATTTCTTTCTTTCTTTCTTTCTTTCTTTTTTTTTTTTTTTTTTTAAAATTTAAATTTTAATAAAAAAAATTTCATGCTCCGACAATTAAAGGGAAGCGAGATTAAAATTCGTGAATAACTTTCTTCGAGAAAATCTTTCGTTTGAAAAAAAGGAAAGAGATTCGAGAAATTCGATAAAATTCGAATAATTAAATTAATTTCCAGGAAGAAAGAAGTTTTTTGTATTTCTACTTCATTTGCATATTCCGATAATTTATTACCGTTCCTATATAATATTTGGTTGGTCGGTGGAAACGGGATAATTTGAAAGAGCTACGAAAGTACGCATTATGCTGTACGAGATGCTGACTTATTCATGCAGGAATAACTGTTTCTCGAAGATACCGATTCATACTCGATGTTTACAGTATGTTTACTCACTTACAATTAAGTGTAGTAGAAGTAATCTTTAGATATAAATTTCAGACTGTAATTTTAAATTGATTTTGCACGAATGTTATAAACATTTTATCAATTATATTTTTATTGAAAATAAATAAATAAATATATCGCGGATAGATTTCCGTATCCATCGACGAATAGCCAAGAGTAATATCCTTCTCTCATTACGAATCCAATATCCTATCTTCCTGATCTTGGAATTTTAATCGTACACAGGAAACGATCATTTCTTTTAAAAAAGAAATGAATTCCAGGCTAGAAATTGCCTCGTGCGTGCAGTCTCGCGGAAGGATTTCCACGTTTATTATGCGGAGTATATAACGTCGTTTGAACATAAATCCACGGAATAACCAACGAGAATAATAATAAAGAAGCCGCTTTCGTGTTGTCAAAGACCAAATGCGCCACGATTCGAAGAAAATTTGAACCACGTACGAACGCACGACGAATATAATTTTTCACGTATTCTTCTTTTTCCTTTTTTTTTTTTCTCGATGTAAATAATTTTCTTTTTATGGGGAACATAGTACAGGAATCGAAACTCACCAGCGTCTATCCAGACAGCCGATTTGGATCCATTCTTTTTGTTTCGCCCGTTCGAAATTTTGACCATTTTAATGGGTTGACCCTCGTAACTGTGGCCTATCGTTATCACTTCGACCAGTTTAGGATACTTTAGATTTAGATATTCCATGTATCTGACGATCTCTGAGAAAAAAAATATTCATAAAGATTTCGTTTATAATTGATCGTTATTAAATTGAAAACAAATGTTGTAAGGCGCGTTATAATGCTCGAGAAGTCTTGTGAATTGAACTAACAGGAATATTGTTATTCTGTAGTGGGGAGTAGTGGGGAGAGATAGGTTGGGATATGGTTAGAAGGAAGGCAGGAATGGTAAGAGGAGATTGAGAACGGTGGAGGGGCTACTTGGAACCAGGGGATCAGATTCGCGTTGAAAGTTGCCTTTATTAGAAAAGTTCAATGGGAAAGAGAGTTATGACGGGAAACTTTGTTTGTGCGAAGATTCACGTTTTCCGAGCGTGAAATTTCAAAAGTATAGGGATGGAACTAGGGATGTTTAAATATCGAAAATAAGGAAATTTCCAAGTTTGAAAAGTTGTCATACCTCCATATCGATGATATCGTTTCCAAGTCATACTGTGTCCCTGACTCGAGACGAGATCATCCCGTTGTTCCTTCGACATTTTTGGATTTTGATTCGCTATCGTTTTCTATCGCAATAAAATCGAAAGAAACAATTAAACGATTTGTCGTAAAAATTAATCTCCTATTGATTTATCTTAGTTGATTTTTTTTTGATAATTTAATTTCTCTTTTCTTTGATACCACCTCGTACCTGAATATTCGTTATCAAAACTTTGAAATCGATTCCTTTGTCTCTAAGGAATATTTTCAGTTCGGGGACAAGATCTGGAGCGACGACTACGTCGGTTGTTCTGAAGAATAAACGATTATAAAAATAATTCACAATAGAAATGGAATAATTCCATAGAATTAAGATTGAAGAAGTGGAAAGAGGAAGGAAAAATACACGAAACACACTTGTTGTACATCGGTTCGCTCCAGAATTTAATATCCTCGGTCTCGGCCTCCTTCAGCTCCTTTAACTCGTTCACGTGTCCTTGGGAACTAGGGAACAATCTGATCAATTGATAATTTTTGTAATTCACTCTGTTGGGTTTAGGCTTGCCACTTTTCTCCGTTCCGATGATACTAGTCACGATGGAATCGAGTCCGTTAGCCATCACAGTGAACACAGAATCGACGATGTTCGAGAAAGAAAATCCTCTGATTTCATTATCGATTATTAAATGATCCTCGGTCTCGTTGTATACGATATCCTCTAAATCCGTAAATCTAAAACAAAATCCACGATTCTTTTCTTTTCGTTTCTTTTTTTTTTTTTTTCCAAAATCCTCCACCATAATTTTAATTTCTTAATCACTGGAAATCCAATCTTTATCTTTAAATTCCAACGAGAGAGAAATATATTCAAAAATCTACGATCGACGATAATTATATAAATAAGACGATCGATCGATCACCACGAAACCTGACATGAACGTTCGAACGTCACCGTTGAATTTAAAATTCCAGAAGAAAAAAAAAAGATCTACTATCGAAATTCGAAATTCGATCACAGAAAATAATATTTTCCTCCAACCTTGCTTCACGATTCTTCTTATCAAAGGACCAATCGTTCTTGTTCAAGGACGAGCAATTATACTCCCCCACGGGCAAAAATTCGAAATCGGCGCGCTGCGGTCGAGCCATGGCTCGATTCGAGGCGATGATCACCGATAAACCGAACGCGAGACGGAAAATCGACTTCAAGTCGACAGCCATGGTCGGCCTGAATCAGGCCCGGGATGTACGCTCGTCGCGACGTCTTCTCGTTGACTAATCCCATGGTGCAAACCAGTCTTCCCGACCCCGTTGCTCCGTACGCGAAAAACGACAATTTCACTGGACCTGCCCCACGGGCTTGACTTACGGGATTTCTGTGTGGCTTTCAATACCTCGTGGGAACATTTATGGCCTCGTGAATGATGGATAGAAGGTTAGTGGAATAAATAAATTCTACTCTGTGATCCTTTGTGGATGGATCGATGATTTATAGCTTTAATTCTTTTCCTACTCTTGTCGATCATGATATTTCTATTTATTTATTTATTTTTTTTTTTTTTGAATTATTCGGAGAATTAATCATTTATTGCTTTGCGTCGAAACATCGATTCGATTGATCGAGAGGAATCCGGTCGAGAGGAAATATAGTCTAACATTTTTATTTGCGACACAGCTCCATTCCATTCTAATTCGTTAACGGTAATTTTCTTACCTACCTTGTCTAATCCTTGTTCGATTCTCTTCGAACGGAAAATACGAGGTTACGGAATGAAATCGTGCTATTTTTTCTTTCATTCTTCTTTTGACTGATTTTCCTTTCATTTTAAGTAATTTTACAATCCACGATATTTACAAGTTAACGAGGAAAGTAAAGTTTTTACTGTCAGTTTACGTTAATTTTTGATCCGTTCACTTTTGATCATTCTACTTTTGCATTCGTTCAAGTAAGGTTACTATTCCACGATTTAGATATAATAACATAAGCATATTCTGTGAGAAGAAATAAGGGGAGGGGGGGGGGAAAGTGGGAAAAGTTTATTCCTCTCCATTGTTTTAAATATTAACGTTCTCCTGAATCAAAATCAAAAGAGGATTGGATTATTCGGGATTACGCTGCGAATATGATTTATTATCGTTTACAACTATAAGAGCATTACCGGTGTTCCCGGTATATTGCGGCAATACAATTATTGCGTGAATGTACGTAATGATAGAGCGTAAATAAGTAATAATAATTAATAATTATATTATAATAATGACTGGTGTTAAATTAATATTACTCTGTTAGTCGGTTTTCCACATGTACGAAAAGAAATTGAAATACATACACAATACAAAGAGACGGGAGAATGATTCCGCGCCACGAGGCCGGAAGAAATCGGTCACGGGGAACGGCATCGAGGAAGAAAGTAGAGGAGATAAATCGATCGAGAAGAAAAATCATCGGATCATCGATTGTTCTCGTATCCTTGCGATCGAGATCTGTATCTTGTATCTCAGAATTCCCCGTTCGTTCGAGTATGCACATCGAATTTTGACTAGCAGCACGGTGTCTATGACGAAAAAAAAAAAAAAAAAAAAAAAATCCCCCGACCTTCGTTCCGTCCATCCATTGAATGGATTGGATTGGATAAAAGAAGAGGGAGATCCTTGCAACGAGATCCGGATTGATCTTCTCGATCTTGCATCAAGAACAGTAAGGAAAAGAAGTAGACGAAGGGAAACTAGGAAAGGAAAAATTTTCGCGACGTCGAGGAACGACGATAAACGACATTTTTTTTTTTCTTTTCTTTTTATCGTGGATCCTCTCGTGGCACGGTATTGTCGTAATTACACGTATAACGATTTTTTTTCCGTGATAATTGACTGCTTGTCGTCGTCCCCGCCGATCTCATCTTCCTTCGTCGACGTATATTTTCCAATTTTTATTCTTTTTCTTTTTCTTTCTCTTTTTTTTTTTTTTTTTTTTTTTCTAGACGAACGAAGGAGGACGTCACTCGTGAGGACGAATTAAATGGCAAGAACCTACGGGGAGTCATCAAACAAAATGTGATGTTTCGGTTTCGATACCGCTCTACTCCTCTTCGAGTATCGTTTATTTATTCAGTTTCGTCACGTTGACGCGTTTCAAAGGGGAGAAAAAAAAGAAAAGAAAAGAAAAGAAAATTAAAAATTTCTCTTCCTTTTTTTTCTTCTTCCCCCCTCCCCCCCTTTCTATTCCTCGACCTTTATCGTCGATTCTTATCTCAATGAGCTCGGATTGTCTCCTCCTCCTCCTCCTCCTCCTTTCCGCCCGACATTGCGTTTCATACTTTCTCGTGTTTCAACTTATTTACAGTTATTTATAGAACGTTTTACTCGTAACGTAACGTTGAACCGCTGCTTTCTCGTGGAACATGGCGGGCTACGATACACAGGCACGGCTCCGCACAACGACGTAACATTTTCTTCGATAAACATTACTCGAGAGTCCCAAGTATAACGTGATTAATAATATATATAATATATATATATTCAACTATATTTTCTTGCGATCTTCTTCTTCTTTTTTTTTTTTTTTTTCTCTTTTACTTTTTTCTTTTTTTTTTTTTCTTTTTTGTAACAATGTGTACGCGTGCAAACTATTCTTTTTTTTCTTTTTTAATCATTATTATCTTCTGCGATCGAGACACTTACTCGCGAGACTGCGCTTCGAACGCGCGAACGATCTTTCCGAGATTCGCGCATAGAGCACGGTCGATTACTCGTCAACTATACCTACCAACTATCGGTACGTTGCAATGATACGCGTTTTAGCGCAACAGTGTATCTCGTCGTGGTGGAAGCAAAGTATAACGCCGTGTTCTGTAACTTCTGTCTCTGAACGAATATACAATGATTGAGATTATAAAAAGAGAGAGAGAGAAAAGAAAAAAAATATCTGTGGGATATAGCTTGCATAGCTCGACAGATTGCTTCTCGATTGCGATGCGGTGACATTGGTAGCAGTAGATCCTCTGGAGGTGGAGTTAAGTAGAGTTGGTAAAAAAATTCGTAGAAAATATGCGTGTGTATACAACGACAGACGAATAATCGTGATAATAATTCTTAATATAAAGATCCTCGAATATTTTCCATACAAAAATACAACGCAATACAACGTGGAAGTTGCAATCCCGCCATCGTACTTTGCTCCCGATATCCGGGGTTTTTTTTTTTTTATATTACTCTACTATCATCTATCGATAAACACAACGAGCAGCAACGATCGTCGCATTATAATTAATCAATTTCATTCTCTTCTTCGATGAAACGTGTGATCACATCGACACGGATGGGATGGAATCATGGTGTTTCGTGTATCATCGTATAAACCTCTTCTTGTTTTTAGAACAATAACGAATCAATTCCCTATCGTTCTAATCTCTATCTAATAGTTTTGCTGAGAACTGTTTTCATGCTCTACTGATTCTGTCTCTACGCGCCAACAACGCGCCAACATCTATTACGAGAGTCAACTAACGTCGTTTTCGAACGAACAGCTCTGCTCATATATAACTATATTTCTTCGGTGAAACGACGGTCAAGTATGCTGTATTCATTCTTCGCGATGAATCGCGCTTTTATGGCTTTTTTTTTTTTCCCTTTTCTTTTCTTCTCTTTTTCTTTTTCATCGATTCTTGTCAGGCCTCGAAGACGAAAAACCGTTATTCATGCGTCTTGGAGGACGCCGTGAGACGAATAAAAAACGATTTACACGATGTTGGCCTTCGCTATGGAGTTGCCCATCATGACCTTGTTCACGAAATTCACTATGGCCGTGGCTGGTTGTTCCGGTTCTAGCTCGGCGAACACGTGACACTGGTTGTCCGATTTGTGCGCCGGTTTCCTGGCAACGAATCCGAAACATCGACTGGAAACATCGAAGAAAGAATCGATAAGAGAATTATTTTGTTTATATTTGCAGGTGCAAAATATTAAACTTTAAGAAAAGGGAAAAAATAAAAATAATAATTTCCAAACATAGAAAGAAAGAACAAATACGTACTGGGCGCTTACTGATCGGCCGGTCTCCTCGCTGGCGAAGTCCCAGGTGCGCTCCTCCGTGTCCAAACCGCAATAACTGATATTATTCGTGGGATAATGCCTACGGAAGAACAACTTTCGCGCGTTATCCGTCAGAGTGATCCCTTGGGTGGAAACTTTGAAATGAACTATAGTCGCGGCGGGCAATGGTTTTTGCTCGAACATGGTCGTCACTGCCTTCTTGATGGCTTGAGGCCCAGTCAACGATTCCATGTCCATGGTGAACAGGTACAAAACATTGCAGGCTAGAAGAAAAGATGATCAACGGAATACGAATTCGCGGAAATTCGATCGAAATTCACGAGAATAAGAAATAGAAAGGGAAGCAATCCGATCAATTCCTTTCGATCCATTTACCTGCACCCTGTGCGAGCAGTTGCTGCGTGCTGTTCGTCCCCGGCGAATCGAGGGCTCTGGCTGCAGCTTCCGGTTCTGGGAGCAAGAGCGGGCAAGGTAGAGCCATCGCCATCAAGCTGTGCTGGTAAACCAACGCCGACAACGAGCTGAAAACCGGCTCGTTGGCGCATCCCTTTAATCTGACGCCTCTTGAGGTGGGCTCGATTAAAAAGTGCCTGACCAGCTCGCTAGACGGGTCCCTGGGACTGCTGGGCGCGCCTGGAGGTGGGGTCGCCACCTTCAGGGCGAGTCCAAAAGCCCCTGGGAAGGAATTGCTGTCCCGGACGACGAACGTCCCCGGCGCTGCGTCCTTCAGCATCGAGATCGCTGAGAAATGGTACGTTAATTAATATTATTCCCCTTAACGCTCACTTTCCTCTCCTTCTTCTTCAAGTGTAATACCTTGCTCCCGAGATATGTTAGGTTTGTACCAGATTCTGCTCGTGTCGCGCACGAATTTCACGTTCGCGTCGGCCACTTCTTGAGGCTCGGTGTTCGAGTGTACACTGGACCGTCTCGAACCGTAATACTGCACCTGAGGAGACGATTGGCCACCGCTGTTTACGGAAGTGTACGACGTGGCACTCTAAAGGGGAGGAAAAAAAAGGAAAAAAAAAAAAAAAAGAAAAACGACGAGAATAATAACGAATGGAATAATCATGGAATGATTATTTCTTACGATAGTTTTAAAAAAACGTTTATTTAGAAACGCTATTTATATGTACCTTAGGACTTTGGGCGAATTCGATATGGGTCGGAGTACCAGGGCTGCGCGAGACAGCTTGCGACTGTTGCATCGTTGGCTCGTTTATCGGAGAAACAGATCGGTCCTTGCTACAAGGAAGCAATCACACGCATCGTTACAAAGTGCATTTTCGAGAAGGTTCGTTTTCCGCGTGCAGGCAGACGCGTGTATACTGTGATCTTTGTGTGTGTGTGTGTATGTGTGTTGTCAAGTGATTCGTGCAAGATGGCGTGTACGCCGTGAGAAAACACTGGAAATGTGGTACGTACAAGAGCGAGGGGAAAAAAGAAAAAAAAAATGGAAGGAACAGGGAAAAGGAATACATCGATTAAGGGAGTACAGGCAGAAAATGAATGTGAGAGAGAAAGAGAGACACGAATATATCGTCGTAATTTACAGCTTTTTTTCTTTTTTTTTTTTCAATCTAAGAACGACGATTCACACACACACACGTCTATATACAGATACGATTACCAAGAAAACAGTTGTCATTAAATAAATGATAGTGCACGTTATTATAATATATATATATATGTTAATCAACGACATCACGCAAATGTTTCCTTCTTTCTGGATATTATTTATTAATAAAAAGCCTGTCGATGATAATTATTACGCGAGTTTCCTTGTAATCTTATGTTTTTTTTTTTTTTCTTAACTTTGGTGATACTTGTACATTCTGTTGGATGACAATATGCTTTCACGATGCAAGAAGCTCGAGCTTTTGTTAGTCCGACAGGTGCAAATATAGACACACACTCACACACGAACAATGCGTGTTTTTTTAGCTCTTCAGTTTTTGCTTTTTTTTTTTTTTTTTTCATCACGATGCTGATCCGGGAAAACGCATCTCTGCAACCGTATCGATCAATCTCCATTTCAATCATGCCATGCCCTCGATGCCTTTCAAATATTCCAATTAATTTTACATTATCGATTCCCATATTTTACTTCGCGTCCCTTACTTCGCGATACGGTTGCAGCTGGGTAACGTATATACACCGATACAGATAGTTAGTGGCACGACATTAAACATTCACGGCGCATCCCGTCGTTGAGAAACGCGGATCCATCATTTTACACGCGTTCCAGTGCTCTGAAATAATATATTACCTATAGTCGAACGACGCCGATTGGTTAGTGAGCGGCCATCGTTTGTTATGCGTTTGTTTAAGTGGCCCGCTTGCCGGGAAACTCAAGCGTCTAGAATCACGAATATCGTTCTGTGTCATAATCATTGCTCCACCAGCAATGTTCGATGGAAGATAAATACTCCATCGAATGATTTTTGCCTCGTTTTAAGAAATAATTCAAAAAAAGAAAAAGAAAGAAAGAAAGAAAAGGAAAATCATCCTGTTTTAATTTGAAAAAATTGAATTAATCGTATCTCTAAATCATTATCCTAATAAAAATTCTATCGAACTCAATTGTTGAATCGATCGAAAGAAAGAAAAACAAAAAGAAAAACAATTAATCACGAATTATTCTTTGTTGATATTTTCATCGAATATTTTATAATCTACACCGATTATCGAATAAAACAATTTAACGAAAATTAATGGAAGAATAACGACGGAAAAATAATAACCCACCTCTGTGTTGTCGGACTCTTGGGTGGAAGCCCCGTCTCTTTCGAGACTTCTCTTCGTTCTTCGATGTAGATCGTTCGTTCGCTCGCGTAATTTCCGACGTTGTTGTTGTTGTTCCCGGCTGCCTCGACGTTATTTAAATTATTGTTGTTGTTGTTCACGTTGTATGTGGCGTTCGTGCTGTAGGAGCGATCAGCCGCGAACGTGACCGTGGGCGAGGAGTTGTTCACGTACGGGGTCCGAGGATGGACCGGAAATGCCGGAGTTTGAGGCCTCGACGCGCTGCTCACCACCGCGCTTCCGGGACTTACGCTCCTCTCGGTCCACGATGAAGCCGAGTCATTGTGCGACTGCAAGTTTTCGTCCGATTTTTAACCATCCTTTTTTCCCTTAACCTACTCATACTCGTTTCGAGTATGCTTTCTCTCGTTTGCAAAAAAGATGCGGCATACTTATAAAACTAGTGCTTCCGGTTCAAGCGTGGTGTTCCAAGCGATTTTCGAAAATGTACGAAAGATAAGATCTGTGTGGTGAGAAAACACATATGGTTCGATACGTGCAACGATCGGAGAGAAATTTTGTTCGTATGTCTTACGATATACTTTTTACATTAATCGTGAATTTTTTAATTTGAAAAACACTTCGGATTCACCGATTAGATTCGTCTAAGAAGAACAATCGAGAAATATCTCATCGAGAAAACGGAAATGTTCGGTCCGTTAAAAAATTGGATAAAGAGAAAACGATGAAAATCTCTCTCCTCCCGTGCGAAACGGTGAAAACTACTTTGAGTGAGGATGGAGGAGACAGGAGGACAAACCTGGGTGCAATTCTGCCATGCTTTGGGCGACTGGTTAGGGGAGCAATTAGTGATGGCGTTAACAACGTTGCCGCTCGCAGTGGTGGTGGTTGCTGAGCCGATACTCGGCGCGTGATGATCGTTCGCGTCTGTCTTGTTGTTGTTGTTGTTGTTGTTGTTGTTGTTAGTCACCGATTGGGATGATCGAATGGGCGAAATTTCAGCCAATGATTGAATGAGGCTCACGAGAGGGTCCGGATTGTTGCGCGTGCTCGATTGTTGCTGATCATTGACCATCGTCAACAACCCTCCGTCCACGTGGTCGGCGGTCCTTTCAACGTTCCCTCCGGCCAACGTGGTCGAGCTCAAACACACGATTCGATTTCTCGATTCAGGCCGAGAGTTACGAGACATGGTCGTGGCGTAATCTTGGCCAATCGGTTGCTTCTGTTGCTCCGTGTTGACCGCGTTGCTCGCGGCCAGCTGCTGCTGTTGTTGCTGCCTGTTGTGCTCGCGCAACAAAGCGTCAGCCCGAGCAAAGCTGTCGCTACGCGACTCTGGCCTTGGTGGTTGAGGCTTGTCCGTGTTAATGAACGGTGTTTGTAGCTGCGCTGCTAATCCTAAGGGTCGCGTGCTTGCTAAGCCTGAGCGGGGGGATGTCGGAGGGCTCTGAAAAGCAAGCCAAGCGCTTCATGCTAGAGGGAGACGGGGTTGTTTTAATCCTTTCCTGCCACCGAGTGTTTACACGGGCTCATTTCCCTATTACCGATCGGATCACCGCGATCCTCCATTACCGGTGCCGGTTAATCGCCTTAATTTCCAACCTATCTGCCTCCTATTAAATTTTAACGCGATCCACGTTTCACGCCAACGCGACGAGACCGGATTGGAAACGAACCACCATAAATTTTATATACGTATATGGTATATCGCGATTATTGAAGAAGTGGAGTAAGAAAGAAATTTCGTATCGTTAAAAATTAGCTTGGACTCTAATAGTCGCATCAATCGTGCGAGCAACGCCTCGCTTAATAAAACCGTAATAATCGGTGGAAAAAAGTGGGCAGAAGAAAGGGTTAAATTATAGATACTCATGGCACTAAAGGGAAAGCGATCTCTTCTTTTTTTTTTTTTTTTTTTTCATTCTCTTCTTTTGCGAATTCTACGGTGTAAAAGGAGTTGTTGTTGCTGTTTAGGATCTAACTGTGGAGCATATATATAACCATAAAACACGGGACCGCAGTGGGAGCTGGTTTTACAATCGCGATCTACGAGGGGCTAAATTGTAGCGTTCGTGCTGCCGCCGTTTCATTCGCGCAAAGGTAGAATCGATCGTGCCGCCGTTTCGGATTTATTATCCTTATTACCGATAATTATTTTAAGTAGTTCACCGCTCCGGGTGAAATGGCTCCCGGCCTAATAATACCACGTTCCTTTTTCTTTTTTTTTTTCTTTTCTTCCTCTCTTTCTTTTCCCATCCCGCGGCTTAATAAATATTTATTTCGCGTAATCGAGCGGCGTGCTCTCGCTCCCTTCGTATCGTATGTATGCACACGACGATAAACATTTTATTATGCTCCTGGACACGAAGCGCTCGTTAAACACGATCGATCCCACTGCCCACACACGTGTGCTGCCGGGGCAAACTACTTCTTTTTTTCTTTCCCCCTCCCCTCCCTTGCCCCCCTATCTCTAACTACTTGCTCTCCAACTGTGCACAGCGTATATACTTCCTCGGTTTACCTGGTTGTCGCTGTATTTGCGATATTCGTATGCCCGTTTCACGGACATGAAGGGACGCTCGTTCACGCTCTCGGCCCGTGGCCGTCCCAGGGTACCGGTTCCGGTGCTACCGTTGTACTTCCGGCTGCTCGACCGTTGCGGAAGCAACGGGCTCGCCGGCGCGGATGTGTAAAGAGCTGCCCTCGATTGTGACTGGAAAATTATAAGTCACAAACATTGTTAGCTGTTATGTATATAAAATAACATTCGCGAAAGGAAAATTGCGAGAGAAGAAATTTAATTTTATTATTTTTTCACTGTTGTTGTATTAAAGGCTAGGATCATTGGAGGATCAGGAGGTAATTTGATTTGATGATGAAATTTTTGGAGAAATTCAAGCGCTGTTTCAATGATTTTTTTTCTTTTTTTTTTTTTACCTGCCCGGAAGTGGAATTGACAAGCCACGTGTCCTCATCGTCGTCGAGAACCGCAGAATCGCTGGCGTACCCGTCGTGCCTCATCCTTCCCCTCTGCAAGCTTCTCAGCTCGCCGATCACGCGATTTCCGGTTTCTTGTCGCCAAAGTTTCCCCGGGTTTCTTTCATCCCTCCTCGCGGCAAGTTTCAACTGCTGTTGCCTCAACCATGATAATCTAGAGAAGAGAGGAAACAAGGTAAAACTTTCCCATTCCGCGCCGAAAAACTTTCTTAATCACCGCGTTGCTTCTAATAATTTTCGCCCAACGCATAATCCGTCCGCAAAAAATCACAAAAGAAGTGCACCCTTAGTAACTTAAACTAGCGCGAAAATCCCGAGAAAGAAATCGAAGAAACAGGAAGTTTCTCTCTCTCTCTCTTTCTCTCTCTTTCTCAAGCGTGTAACTCTTCCTCTTTAAGAGGGATGGAAAGAAAGCTCGATCCGCGAATGTTACACCGCGGATCCTTTGTCACCTGTCACGGATTAGAATCTCTGGCTACTTCCCGCGAACCAGCTGTTTTCATCCTGTAAATCGTGATTTCTCGCTTTCCTCGCCTTCCTAGGAGGAAGAGTTACACCGACTCGAGTTACTCGCGAGGCCGGGCGGCGACGAAAACACGAGAAGCTACTTTCTCGGGGAGGGGAACACGAGACGAGGGGCACGGAAGCGTGTAACAAAGCCTCGTTAGAACGGGGCCACGTCACGGTTCCAGAGTCGGAAGAAGGCCGGAATCCAGGACCTCCTACCGAGATAGATAATTGCATCCTGATCGATGGAGTAGCTCCGGGCCATCGATTTCCGTTCGTGTGTTTCGCTCGCGGTGCCTCTCCCCCCTTGTAATAAATCCACGACTTCCCTCCCCTTCTCCTCCCCCCATCCGGTTTTTATCTCTCTCCCTTTTAACGAAATTCGTGGAACGGCCACACCCTCGCGATCGAGCGAATCGTGAACTAAATGGAGGCGATCGTGTCGCGAAGCGGAAACGATTTTTATCGCCATCCCTCTTTTTTAATAATAAATTAAACCGTTATCGTATGCTGGTATTCGTCGATTGGTGTTCGTCGCATCGAATGCACAATATCCATGTATAAATATTTGCGGGGATTGAAAGGATTTCGAAACGAAAGCGAAAGCTTCGAATGCTTCGAACGAGAAGGACGAGCTATACGAATCCGAACGAAATCCTCGCCCGTGTCAGAGGCTCGTGCACGGAAGCGCATCAAGTTTGGATGAGAAGTTAATTCGCCGCGAGATCAAACGGTGATGATGTAAATTTCACGCCGGTGAAAGAGAGAACCGTAAATAGGATTTCTCAGTGCCTGCAAACTGATGGAAAATCAACCCTCTTCCACGGAGGGGAGGGGGTGTAACGAGCTTTGAAAGATCAACGTCTGTTCCGTTCGCGAAACTGCAACGTTTAAGTTCGAAGAAGTTCGAGATTTCTGTTCCCGACTTGCACGAAAATCGAGAAATTATTTCCCATTCCGTTTGAACGCAATATAGCCATCTTCAAACATTTGATTACAGATTTCATATATATATATTCGTTACGTTGTTTTTTTTAATTTTTATATCTTTCGACATTGTATTAAACTCAAAGAAACGCAAACGGAATGATCGACGATTTTTGAAATTTTTTTCAAGAAATACACGCCGTTGGATTTTAATAAATGTTGGCGAAAAAAACGAATATCGCTCGCATTTTTCTCCTGTGTGTCTGTCTCCTCTGAAAATGACGTCAATCGAAAAATCCAAGTTGGCCAAGAAATATCGTAACGGTGATTTCATTTCATATTCACGCGGGAACGCGTAGAATTCGCACGCGTAACGAAACGTTCTACGTTTCTGGTGAAATTAAAATGTTCCATATCCATTCGCGAAATAAAAAAAAAGGGGGGAGGAGGGAGGGAATTTAACGGCAATGGAATTTACGAGGACAAGCGTTCTATCCCGATTCTATATCGGTTTGAAATAAATCGAGACGGATATCCTCGTTCTCTATCTCCGCAAAAGATTCTCGCGTTTCGAATAATAAAACGGGCTCGTTACGTTGATCCAATTTTTTTTTTTTTTTTTTCGACACGAGATATTTTCGGGATCGTTCACGCGATTTCCTAGGTCGGATGTAAAACAGTTTCGTTTCGTGTAGCCAATATTTTACGGCGTGTAACACGTAACCTTGTTTAATAGCAATTTCGTAGTCCGCGTTTTGGAAGAGTAACAATAACTATAAATTCTGAAGCAATGAGCGTAAATTCGCGTTAACCTCTGTACAGGGGCTATAAATTTTAACGTCGTGTTTCGAGTGTATTCGATTGCTCGATTATTACTATTTCTAAGAACGAATTATTGCGAATATTACTTGTTGTAACATTCAAATTAGTTGAGATTACTTCTTTCCACTTTCTTGAAGTAAGAAAAACGAGCCGATCGTTTTGAGACAGCTAATTCTTCTCCTTTTTTGCCATATACATCGCGTCGATACATCGATTTGCAGATATCTATCTACGGATATTTATCTCTCTTTTCTGTTAATAATAAAGTTTTAAAGAATAAAGTTTCGAACGAGGTTTTAAAAAAAATTCGAAATTCTCCTAGCGAGAGAAAACCATCGACGAAAAGTAAACATTAAAAATTAACTTCCCTACTTGCTAAAAAAAATATTCACATTTTACGATCTCGCGAGAAATCCACAAAAGCAAAGAATCACCGTTCCACCATCGATATGAAATAAATTTGAGAAGGAAATTTATAAAATATCGAAGAAGAAATTCCAAGTCTACGGTGGTATTTTCCCGGAGAAATGACGATTTATCTCGGCATGGAGCACGAGAGAATTTTTCACGGAGCGAGAGAATGATCTTCCTCGAAATAATATCGCGGTTAGAGGGAAGAGTAGTCTCGGGCAGGATAGGTCCGGAAAGGACGTCGGAAACGCGAGCTCGTCGTGGAAAATTGCGCGAAGCCTTTACGAACCGCTTTTGTGCTCCCTTTCTGCTTCGAATGACTTCCGTATCCGAGCGCTCCGCTTCCACGAAGCTCCTCCGGCGATGGAAAAATTGCCAGCGGAAAGAAAATGCAGTTGCGCGGGAAACAAAGAACAAACGAGAAAGTGGGGAAGAAGGAGAAGAAAAAGAAGAAGAGGAGGAAGAAGAGGAACAAAAACAAGAAGAAGAAGAAGAAGAAGAAAAAACAAAAGGGGTGAGTCTGGTGGCGGCCGATTTACCGTTCTATATTTATAATTATGTCAGAGGGCGGTCGGAGTCCCGCGAATAGGGACATTCTCCCTCTCCCTTCAACGAGTCTCAGAATATTTCTATTTTCGTCGTATTTTCGCCGACGTTCCTCGAATACCGTAGACGCGGTTTCTTAATGGAATCAATCGTCACCGTTTCCTAAGCTTGGATTCTTAAAAAATTTAGCCACCATCCAATTTTACCGTCCCCCGAATATTTCGATTCGTTCGAAACTTTGCAAATTTGTATATATATTAATAATAACCGTACGAATTGACGAAATGATTAGGAAAGGAAATAAAATATTAAACGAATCTTCCGAATTTCTCTTCTCTTCTCATTTTCCTTATATAAATCGGGACGAGATTTCGCGAACGAAACGTCAACATTTTTGAAAAATGTCCCATTGCGAGAATCGCTTCCGAGTACTCGACAATTTATTTCCACGAACGGGATCAAAGGGAGGAATGTTATCTTGAAATCGGATGAAACGGCATCGATCGAGGTACAGATAGCCTCCGGTACTCGGAACGATTGTTTCAGAGGCAGAGCAGCGGCCGTAGATGGAATTTAAACAGCTACGAGTCGGGACGGGGAGGGTAGGGAGGAAAAGCAGGATCGAGAGACGAGGAACGAACGGTGAAGCCCCCGAAAGGAGAGCTTCTTTGCGGCTGAGAAAGCAGACCTGCCAAACGTCTGTCGACCTCCTCGACCATAAACGTCGCCTGTTTCTCCGTCGTAGCGGATCACGCTTCTTCATAAATATCCGGGCGAAACTTGCGGTTTCGCTCGCTCTCCGCCTCGGCTCCGCACGAGGGACGTTTATTTTCACGGCTTTCGGCCCTCCAGCGACTCGATACACGAGTATTTTACGGTGACTGCCAGTCCAGTTCGACGAACTCCGGTAACGTACGGTTTAACAAACTTGTTAAGTGTCGGATCTTATTCGTTTCTTTTCCATTCGTCGAATAAGATTTCGAACAGGAAGAGAATCCAATCGTTCGATCGAGTCGAAAAAATCTTGGAAAAATCTTTCATCCGCGCGATCTTTTGAATAACGAAAAGTCTGAAACGTTCCATTTTTCGTTCGCTTCCCCCTCCCCAATTTTAATATTCTCGAATATCGCGTGGAATAAACTAAAGATCTAGATTAATTCAAATGGATATATTCCGACTCGATCCAAGAATTAATAATTTCTGTGCATAGGGTTAATCACGCGAGCTCGTTCCCCACGATCAATTCTCCAATCAACGACAACATCGAAAATAGAACAATCTCGTGTCTGAGAATAAAATTCGATTAAAATTCCCCTCCCCTCCCTCTCTCTCTCTCTCTCTCTCCTCCGTCAACTCCGCTCTCCGATATATTTCTAAAACTGGACGCAACGTTCCAGAACGGCGAATCAACGAGGCGACAATGCGGTCGTTGGCTCGCCAGTATCCATCCTCCGACCGCGAAACTCGTATTTCATAACGCGATACGACGCGTGTCCGTGCCAGCATCGTCCGCATCCACCGACTTTTCTCTTTCCATTTGCACCGGCCGGCCGACAATGACTCACGACGACCGCGTTCGCCATTCCTGGCAGAAATACGACGACCGCACTGCGTCGCAATCGCGTCCGCCTATGGGTAGACAATTTATTAATTGTACGTCCTTTATCCTCCTGTCCTTTCCATCGTCTCTACCCTCCCCCCCTTTCTCTCTCTCTCTCTCTCTCTCTCTCTCTCTCTCTCTCACTCTCTGTCGTTTCGATCGAGTCCTTTTGCGGCGCCCTATTCGGAGGAAGGAGAAGTTGCGACACGTCCGTCGTCCACTGGAACCTCTGCCAGTGGAATGGCCCAGTTTCCGCCAGTTCACCATTCCGCCTTCGATCCCGAGCGGAAAATCTCCTCCTGATCTCTCTCCTCGTCTCTCCTCATCAGTTTCACAATGTACGTCGGGCGTGACGAAACGGTTCCCCGAGCCGGGCCTCATCGCGCTCTCACCCCTCCAAGTATTATTAGAGACGGGCCGAGCGCATTTAATTATGGGATTTGTTACACGTAGTATAGCTTGTCCGATGTTAAACGTTAGCCGGGAATCGTGCCAGGAAAAGGGACTCCGAAATCGGTCTGTCGAGGGTGTATATATATATATATATATGAGAAAGAGAGAGGAGCTGCGTAGATACTCGTTTTGACAAGAAATCTTTCTAAAGATCGTTTTCTTTTTCGAAAGAGAAAAGATAATAATACGTTTTCTCGAAGAAATTATTTTTCAACAAGCGATATTTTAAACTCTTATTATCTATTATCTCTTATCACCTTAGAAGAATATACAAGAGATCGTCCTCGATACTTTTAATTAATAAATCCGTAAAAAGCGAGAAGAGAGAAAAATATAATATAATCACTCACCCGTCCACGTGATCCGAGGTGTTCTTAGCAGACCCGTTGGCGAATTCTGGCGGGGGATCGGGGGTGTTCGGGCTCAAAGGGCTGATAGGTCTCCTCGAGTTCTCGCCGAGAATGTCCTCGAAATCGACGACGGGCGCGGTGCCGCGTACAGACGCCTTCCTCACCAAAGAGGGGGAGGAAAGTTTCTGATGTTTGAGCATGTCGGTGGTGGCGCCGTAAGAGAACGGTTGACTCGTCTGCCTGGCGTGATAAGGTATGTCCTCGTCGATGTAATCGATATTTCCAGGAGGCGAGAACGAGTCACCGTGCTTCCTGTACGGGTCGGTCGAGGATTCGGAGATCTTTCGGTCGGGCGACACGCGATACTCGAACTCGTCCCTTCGATGATCGATCTTAGCGGGTGGCTCGCGATATTCGTTCTTCAGGGTGCTGTAACTGCTGCTCGAGTTGTACGGGGGGCTCGATTCTTTCCCAGTGCTGTAATTCCTGTACGAATCCTTCAGCGTCGAGTAAGTGGAGGGGGAATGGCTGCTCGCGTGGCTGCTGTAGCTGCGAGTTTCTTGTATGTACATCTTCTCGCTCCTGTCCGTTCTGTAGTCCTCCGTTGGGGGATCTGGCATCGACTGAAATTAACAAGATTCGTTCGTTCCGGTGAGAACACGGAGGAAGTTCAACGATCGAAATTTTTTTCTCGAGTAAAAAAATTATTTTCTTTCTCTTGTCCCGGAATCATGACACGTTAGAAAAGTTATGGACGAAGGGAGAGGTTACCTCGACGGTGAGCATCATATCATGGAGCAGCTTATCGAGATCACCGTGAGCCTGGTTATCCGGCTCCGGCTCGGGTGGGCTAGGTCGTTGCGGCGGGGCGCTGCTAATTCCGCTGTCCATGGAAACTGTCAATGGCGAGCCACGGGCACCACCGGCAGCACCCTGGTGTACCACAGCGTACAGGGATCCATCTATGGGACCGCAGGTGTAACCCAATCCGCGAGGCGACGTCTGAACGGAGGAGCTCGAAGGTGGTGGCGGCGATAATGGAGTTTCCCGTCCTTCTGAACAAAAATTTCCATCCGATTCCATCGGATTAAATTTCTGCAACCAACGCACACGCGCGTTTCGTTTCGTTTCGTTTCGAACGAACGTAACGCATCGTAACGTCTAAACGCATCGGAACGGAAAGCTCGGAATAAAATAGTCTATAAACAAGTCTCGGTGGAGGATCGTTACAATCGAATCTAATTTCTAATTTATCAAAGCGTGCTTTATTAATACCGTTTCTAATAATATAACGTCCCTCTTGGTGTCTCTCTCGATCCTCCTCGCGAGAAATTCGCCTGGTGAACAAAGAGGCTCGTTAAAGGGAAACAATCGATTGTAAATCGATGAAACTGGCAGAGACTAATTGCCAAACAGAGAAAAAGAGAGATGTATACGTGTCCTATCCTCTTTCCTTCTTCCAGAATCGTCGGGCCAATTTAACGCTAATCCCTCATGGTCGTGCTAGAAGAATCTTCGCTCACGTGTGGATTCTCTCCCCCATCCCTAAATACATCCTTTCTTATCCGCGGGGAGAGTGCAAGCAGAGGGAAGAGGCCGAAATCCATCCACTTCGCGCTTTGCACTCTTCCGAGAAGATCAAGAAGAGAAACGCTTCGCGTGACGAGAGCAATCGCGTGCGAGCTTTCATCCCGGATTCGCAGAAATCCTCGTCAAGCGACAGGTATGCGTCTTAAGGGACACGCGGGGACTCCCCTCTCCAGGCACCGGGCGAAAATACGATCTTCCTGCACTGGTTCGTGAAATTCGAAATTCCAACGAGACTTCAAAGAAAGAAAGCATCCTTTCGTCACTGTCATCATCGCTTTCCAAACTTCTTCCCTCGTGGGAAGAGTTTGAGCGTAATCGACGAAGGATCGTGGTGTTTTCTTTACAACCTCGAGCGATTTGGAAACGAGAAGAGGGGAGGGGAGCGTTGGTTCGAGAGAGATCGATCTACGATATTTCTTTCGATGCGTTCGACTAATATTCCTCTGCTGCGACGAAGAGAATCGAAGAAAGAAAAGAAAGAGAAAGAGAGAAAAAGGTAAAACAGTCCGGCTTTTAGAGAACTGCTGCGATTTTAAAAGTGCCGTCGACGCACTCGTGGACCATCAGCCTCCACGAGTGGCCGACGCTTTCCCTCGTTTCAACTCGACTGGAAATTCGAGAATTTATCGCGCAAGAATTAAAATTATTTTAGATCGAGTTGGTAAACGAATGAAAAGAAGCGGCTAGACGAGAGAATTTTGAATAAATTCGTATCGATCTCTCGTTTTCAACCCATCGTTCCCCGTTTCTTCTTCGATAGATGTCCATCGAGATCGATATCGTCGCCCATACGCATACGTGAAACGCTGGCCATGACGCGCACAATTCTCGTCTGAATTCAATCGTTCGAGTTCGTCCTATCCTATCTGAAACGACGCATCTCGCCGTGCATAAATCATTTTTACTGCGGACTACGTTCTCTCGGTGAGAGGGGGAGAAGAGAGAGGGAAGGAAACTGGTCGGTGTAATCCACCTTGGCCGGCAGATGGAACGCATTTAACACCCGCGCGCAAACGCGAAACACGCCGCGAACGACCAGCCTGTTGCTCTTGATCTCGATCAAGAGGATTATCGCGACGCTCCTTCCAACCGAGGTTGGACGGGGGAGGAATCTGAATGGCGTTGGCCCATGCCGAGCCGTAGCCGCGAAAACGCAAACGACGTAGTAAATCACCGGGGCGAATACTCGCGAGGCCGAGATAAGAAGCTGTAACGACACTGATACCTTTATCGCGAGCTTCGGCCACGATACGAATGCTTGCTTATCCCCCCTCGTTCAGATAAAAATCAACAATGATTCTTAAGAGGAGGGGTGAAGGATCGAAGGTGGAGGGGTGAAGGATCGAAGGTGGAGGGAAAAAAGGAAGAGCACCGCACGTACGCGAAGAGGAAGAATTCTGAAAGGAAGAAAAATCTAAGAGGGGAGGAGGATCGAATCGAGGTTGCCGTCTAGCAGCTGGGAGACGACCACCCAGGATTTTCGTTTCGGGGAAGCCCGTCTGAAAGGTAAGATTTAAGGTTTTTTGGGCCGATTCTCTGCAACCGATCGTTTACCGATCGCCCGGAGGAAGCGTCTCGCGTGCTTTCGAAGATTGAGATCTTTGGCTAGTCGTACGTGAAACGACGATTTCCAACAATTCCGATTACAACACGAAGTTTGCCGAGTTTGAGAGAGATATTAAAGATGATGGTCAAGTTAAATTTAACCACATTCAACCTTATCGAAATTTAAATGTTGGAAATGCAAGCGATTGTTAATTGTCGATATCGATAGAAGGGATATGGATACATTTACGTTGATTCTTCTTGGAAAGGTTCTTCTCATTCGAGAATGTTTTTTTCCGACATTAATTTCGAGAGCGATTCTTAAGAAACGACGGCATCAATTTCTATCGGGTTGATGGCACAATAGAAGGGCATAGATCACGCTAATCATTGCGGTAAACATCGAAGAGAGATCTAACGACTAGCACTTAACACGTGCACGAGCCGCAGCTGCAACTTGCACGCACACATTGTCCAATCGATATGTACAAGCTATGTCGCCTTTGGCCAATGGCCGTTCACGATTCGCGCGGATTTATTGCGCCAAATGATACGTCCACGCAACGATTACGTTTCTGCCTCGTCTGTTATTCCCATTCTCGGCCCTCCTCTCCCTCGCATCCGTGTTCGCATCGGCGAAAACAGGGCCGATCCAGCGCGAGTGATCCAAGCACGGGGTACGATCGATCGGGCGCAAACTTTATTGTGCATCTCGATTCTTATCTGAATGCGGCCGGCTCGGCAGCGTACGATGCTCGTGCATCGATTGTTTTTTGGCTCGATACCGCGGACGCTTTTAGCCACGGGTCGGTGTAAACGCGATTCGTGCCGGCTGAGAAGTTACGGCCATCGTTGATGGAGTTATGACCGGTGTATGGTATATCGTATCGCGTCACGTGATGCGAGCGCAATTTTCGCGAGATAAGGTGATTCAAAAGTAACGTTTATCTCTTCCTGCTTCTTTAATTTCGTTTCCTCCTTTTTTTCTCGCGCGATGCGACAAATATTTGGACCCGTCAATACTACTCTCTCAGAATAAAATCTCGTTCGCAATTGCGATTCTACAAGTGTATGAACGTATCCATCCTCGAGGAAGAAATCATCGTGGCACGATTCGCGAAACGAGTCGTTAAATCGGGTTAATAGAGGAAGCGATAAAACCGTATCTTCTCCCTTTGAGCGGGTTTCAAACGTTCCCCGAAGAGAAGTGGTCGGAGGAAGTGGTCGAGGGAACGGTCCACGTTTCCACGAGCTCCGACCGTCATAAACAATCGGCCGGGAACATCGTGCTCGGGTGCACTCGCGTCGCACCTCGCTAAGTAAACGATGGAATTAACGATGAACGGACAACGCAGCGGCAGCCGCAAGAGGTTCGCCCGAGAGACGCGATCTAATTTCATATCGCGCTCTTTAATAACGTCCCCGCCTCGCGCATATCGCTCACTCGCTCGTACTCATCGTTGATTAAGAAACGCGGGCATCGTTTCTTATTGCATCGTTGAATGTATAATATCGGAATGGATAATTTCTCGGTGAAAAGGAGAAAGAAAGAGAAAAAGAAAAACAAAAAAAAAAAAATAACAAGGAGGCGCGAGTTTATTTTCAAGCGAGCGAGTTTGACGTGAGGAAGGAAATTCGATGGAAAATTTATTATTAGTCTTTTGAAAATAACTCGCGAAGTCGTTTGTGAAAGCCTTGGAATTTACGATCGGGTATCAATATTTCATTAATAGATAATCTCGCCGAGTGGTTCTTTTAAACAACTTACGTAATCAATACATCTCGAAGCGATTTTCTGCGAAAAGAAATCGAGACACGGACTGTTTCAAGAATAACTTTTTCCCCGGAAAATCGGAACGAATCGAAGAACGATCGAAGAATGTATTCCCTTTTCGTATTCGCTCTTTTCGAATTACATTTTCTCAAAAAAAAAAACAGAAAAGAAAAAACGAAATCTCAAACAAGAAAATTATTTTTTTTAAATCTCCATTCTCCCGACTGAATCCCGAACGAGAATTAGATTACTCGAAAAATTATTTATCCTTCGATCGATTTCCTTCAATCCCCGTTGAAGCTTATCCTCAAGCGTGCAATCCCCTACACGCGAAAATTTCAGTTTCCAGTTTCATTTCACGCCGTTTCAACGACCATATCCAACACCGCGTATATATATATATATATATTCTTACGGTCGAGAAAACGTAAGAGGAGAGGTGGTCAGAAAGAGCGGGATTCCTTTCTTAGCGGATAGAAACGAAAAAAAAAAATATATATATATATATATAGATATCGAGGAGCACCGACGTATTATAGATTTCACCGAGGATTTCGTTTCGTCTCGGTGTCGCATTATTCCTTGTTCGCGATCAACCCCCTATCCCCTGTACTGTATGCGTTCAAACCCGTACGTATTAATAAGCGGTGTAGGCAACGGTAGGATCGTTGCCTCGTCGAGGTGAATATGGTAATTAGATTCTCGCGCGGAGACGTCATCGCTTTAGCCGGTTCTCCCTTCTTCCTCCTTTCTCCCCCCCCCCTCCCCGCCGTTCCGTCCCTCCTTACTTTATTTCCTCCCTTCCGCCCTCCTTTCCCGCCATTCACGGCCCCATGCGGATTACTCTCGACGGTCTTATGGTAGTAAAATTCGCCATTGGCCGGTTTCTATTCATACGGTGCCGCCGTCATTATCTTTCGCGGAGGAGAAAAGAGCCGAGGCAGGCCCGTAGAGGCTCTCCCCCTCCCTCTCCCCCCGTCCACGAGGAAGAGAGCGCGACTGCGCTGGACGAGGCGAGGGAGAAGGACAGGGTGACTCGAGTGGAGCGCGTGCGAAACGGAGAAAGAGAAAGAGAAAGGGAGACGTACGGACGAATTACTCGTTTGACGGCCTTATAGAGATTCGTGTGAGACGCCGACGGGGAAG